CTAATACAACTGATCTAAAAAAGTACACACTCTAATAGTAAAAGCAAAAGGCTACTAAAAGAAAGAGTAAGAGAGAAAAAAACAACCTTTTTAACTCTATTCTGTAGAGAGACATGCTTATCAGCATCTAGAACAGAAGCTCCCTTAAAGTCAAGTATGTACTAGTTGGATGAACATGACACCGACCCATTTTACCTTTCTTTCTTTGTTTTCATCTAGTGCTTATCAATTTACAAAGTACTTTCACAGTTCCCAATTCCTAGAATCTTCACAAATAACTCTCGGGTAGCACAGGTAGTAGTAGTAGCAGTACCGTTTACCTGATAAGAAAATGGAGCTTGAGGAAGGCAAGAGACTTGTGCAAGGTCACTAAAGCAACAACACTGAGCTCAACACCCGTGTTTCTGGACTCCCGAAAAGCTGCTCTTTTTACTTACACTTGCAGAATGAACTTTTCAGCCTAAAACCTATTGTCTAAACACCGCATGAGCAAACCTGACTGGGCTAATCTAATGATGAAATTCCCTCTGTGACAAAAAAATAACTGAAGGAGAAAAAGATAAGCATGGAACTTTAACTTGCATTTGTAGTGAACATTTCAAAAGCCTAAAAAGCAAATTAGAAATTGAATGAAGACTGTTGTGAAACCTCTTGAGCCTGAGGAAATAACTGTGCTGCACATTTCCTGTATAACAGTTCCAATTATAAAGTCTTTATGTATAATTCGTCTCCTTTATGTGAAGATTTAGAGGGGGTACAAAGAAAGACCTGCTTCAGGGTGTATGTTTTAACTCGACACCAGGTTTGGACACTGGGGGCTTTGAGAATCCCATCTGTCTTCTCATATAATCAGGCAGTATTTATTTTTGCTAACATTTGATTGTAATAGTAAATTGTATTGTGCAGTTTAAAATTTCTACCATTAGTAATAGTGTTCCATAAATTTGAATATGTATTAGAGATATTCATCATTTCTTTTTTTAAAAATAAGGTAAGTCTCAATTTCACACATTATTTTCTAATATAATTCGCCTGAAAAGACATACTAAAATACATACTATGATCAACAACTTCAGGTTTAGAATTTAACTCAACTGTCTAATAACTTA